TTCCTTGATGTATAATAATGCACTATTTATTTGAAACCTTTTTTTTCTTCAATTGTGTGAGACTGTTCCTGAGGACACATGAACAAATGTCTACCTGTCCCAGATAGGGAATCAATGGTGAACCGAAGTAAGGATATCACCAAAGTCCATTCTGGTGCACAGTGAGCTTTATTGGGATTATTTACAGGAATATGGATGAGAGGTTACTTACAGGAACTGAAATGACTACATCACCAAAGCCCCCCTCCCCACTCCCTGTATGGGTGACAGTTCATGAAAAATGGATACTTGGAGCACACTGCATAGCCTGTAGGCAACTCAACAGGTGGGAGTGTCTCTTTCCAGTAGCTCGGGTAGTCTGAACCTCTTCCAGGCAGTTCACCTGATCTCTGCTTCTTCCAGGCGCCTTAGCTAGCCTGAGCCTTTTCTAGTCAGCTTGACTTGTATCAGGGTGCCTCTAAGAGTTCCTCACTGATTGCATATTCTTAGGGAGGGAATAGTCTATCAAATCTAGTCAGTCTTAGGGACTTCTTGGAGAGGTAATCTGTGTAGAACCCCCCTAGCCCCCACAAACACTTCCCTCTAGAAGCAGAGAGATTCATGTTCTGGTCGCTGCTTCTGGCTTCTACAGAAGCTGCCTAACTCTCGCTCCACCATAGCACTGCAGGGGCCCAGTTTGCTTGTCACTCAAAGCCGACGTGTTCCACATAAACCTCCACGTGACCGCCTCAGCACAGGATCTAATGCTTCCAGATGTAACTTATTTGCTTGTTTAAACCAGGCCTCACTATGTGCCCTTGCTAGCCTGGAACTGGAAATGTAGCCCAGGATGGCCTTGAACTCACAGAGCTCTCTCTGCTTCTACTGGAATTAAAGGGTGCACCACCATGCCCAGCTGCAAAAAACCTCTTATGGTTACAAGTTAAGCTGATAACAGCTGATTACATACAAAAAATGTGGGGCTTTTACCTTTGCACAATCTATGTTCATGATGTCAGAATTTGCATTTTACGTGGTATATTTCATAGTTATTGTCTCTATACTTCTGATCACTTTGGCTTTAGACTACATGATAAAATATGAATGTTACGACCATCATGAATATGTACAGTTAACAATATTATAGTACTAGAGTGTTCTGACTAGACTATGCATGTCCCTTTTCCAGTATGTTTTACAGTTGCATGCATATTCGTTATGGTAATTTTCATCCTTTTGTTTTTGACTAAAGAACCTCTTTAAGAATTTTCTGTAAGACAAGTTCATTGGAAATGGATTTCCTTGGCTTTTATTGGTTTATAAAATCATTTATCTCTTAAGGATAGCTTTTCTGGGCATAGTATTTTGGATGGCAGATATTTCAGCATTTTGTTTTTTTTAAATATTCATTTATTTATTATGTATACAACATTCTGTCTGTATGTATATCTGCAGGCCGGAAGAGGGCACCAGACGTCATTACAGATGGTTGTGAGCCACAATGTGGTTGCCGGGAATTGAACTCAGGACCTTTGGAAGAGCAGGCAATGCTCTTAACCACTGAGCCATTTCACCAGCCCCTTTTGTTTTTTTTTAATTAAGTTTTTTTTCATTTATTTTACAGACTGATTAGTTTCATCTCTCCCCTCTCTTCTTGTCCCCTTCCCCACACCGCCTGTCTATCCCCGCCCCCATCCACTCCTCCTCTGTTCAGAAAGGGGCCAGCCTCCCATAGCAGTCAAAAAGTATGTCAGATCACTTTGAGTCGGGACCAAGTTCCTTCCCCCCCCCCCCCCCCCGCCCTGCATCAAGGCTGAGCTAGGTATCCCTGCATGGGGAATAGATTCCAAAAAGCCAGCTCATGCACTAGGGACAGGTCCTGATCCCACTGTTAGGGGCCATTCAAACAGAACAAGCTACACAACTGTCAGACACATGCAGAGGGCCTAGACTGATGCCAGGCAGGCTCCCTAGCTGTTGGTCTAGGGTCCATGGGCTCCCATTAGCTCAGGTCAACTGTCTCAGTGAGTGTCTTCATCATGATCTTAACCCGCCTTGCTTGTACTTTCCCTCCTCCCTCTTGTCAAATGGACTCCCAGAGCGTGGCCCAGTGCTTGGTTGTGTATCCCTGCATGTGTTTCCATCAGTTCCTGGATAAAGGCTCTCTGTTGACAATTAGGGTAGTCACCAATCTGATTACAGGAGAAGGCCATTTCAGGCACCCTCCCGACTATTGCTAGGAATCTTAGCTGGGGTCATCCTATGGGTTCCTGGGAGTTTCCCTGACATCAGGTTTCTCCCTAACCCCAAAGTGGCCCCTCTACCAGTCAAGATATCTCTTTCATTACTCTCCCCCTCCATCCTGCCCCCGACTTGACCAATCTGATACCCACATCTCCTCCCTCCCACCTCACCCCCAGTTTACCCTGGAGATCTCATCTATTTTTTTTCTGGGGGAAATCCATTAGTCCTCCCCCCATGTTTGCCTTTCTGGGTCTAGATTTTCTCAGAATGATTTTTTCTAGTTCCACCCAATTGCCTGCAAATTTCATGATGTCATTGTTGCTTTATTTTTTAACCACTGAGTAATACTCCATTGTATAAGTATACCACACTTTCTTTTTTATTCATTCTTTGGTTGAGGGGCATCTAGCTTGTTTCCAGGTTCTGGTTATTATGAATAATGCTGCTATGAATGTAGTTGAGCAAGCGTCCTTGTGGTATGATTGAGCATCCTTTGGGTATATGCCCAAGATTGGTATAGCTGGGTTGTGAGGTAGATTGAGTCCCAATTTTCTGAGAAACTGCAATACCGATTTCCAAAGTGGCTGTACAAGATTGCACTCCCACCAGCAGTGGAGGAGTGTTCCCCTTACTCCACATCCTCTCCCACATAGGCTGTTGTTAGCATTTTTTATTTTAGCCATTTTGACTAAGTGTCAGATGTATCTCAGAGTGTAAGAGAGTATCTCAGAGTCACTTTGATTTGCATTTCCCTGATAGCTAAGAGTGTTGAACAGTTCTTTAAATGTATCTCGGTTCTTTGAGATTTGTCTGTTGAGAGTTCTCTGTTTAAATCTGTGCCCCATTTTTTTTTGTTTCGTTTTGGTTTGTTTTTTTTTCTTTGTATTTTGATGTCTAGTTTCTTGAGTCCTTTACCTGTTTTGGAGATCAGCCCTCTGTCCGATGTGGGGTTGGTGAAGATCTTTTCCTATTCTGTAGAGTGTTGTTTTGTCTTTTTCACCGTGTCCTTTGTCTTACAGAAGCTTTTCAGTTTCAGGAGCTCCCATTTATTAATTGTCCGTCTCAGTGTCTGTGCTACTGGGGTTCTATTCAGGAAGTGCATTCGAGGCTACTTTCCACTTTCTCTTCTGCCAGGTTCCATGTAACTGGATTTATGTTGAGGTCTTTGATCTACTTGTACATGAGCTTACCATTCAGCATTTTGAAGATGTTACCTCTTTGTGACTCGACCCACAAGTTTTCCACTGGACAACTGATAATCTAGAGAGTATCATCTCTAGAGAATTCCTTCATTTGGGGCTGGACATTTTTGTCTTCCTTTCTCTTAAACTTCTTTTTGTCTTTGACTTTGAAAAATGTTTTCCACACTATTTCTGCCCGATTGAGGCAAAAGGAAATAATAAGCACAATGGTAATTTGAGTTATGAAGATCTAACTTATAATTACTAATAAGCATCAACTCACAGTTCAGTTTATTCATGGGTCTAAAAACATACCTGGTATTTTTATAGACCCAAAGCAAAGGAATCTTTGACCCTTCTGAGACCTTCTATATTAGGAAACAGAGTGATCTCTTTCAAGGTCTTGTGGGCTAGAATGAGGAGAGGGCTCAAATCCATGAGCACTAACCAGGTCATTGCTATCTCTACTATGTCTGTGAACTTCACTTTATTGTGGTCGCCAGAGCCATGTGGGAGTTTGTTCATTTCGATTGGATCAGTATACCATAAATCTATGCTCAGGCCACTCAGAATTACAACGAGTCTTCAGTTCTGTTCTGAATGATGTGTATGGTAGAAAGGCTGCCATCAAAATGGAATATTTTGCTTGCAGAGTTATTCTTATATAATAACAAACCCTTTTAAATGCTTATGAATCAAGAATGGAAATGAAATAGTAAAATGGCAGAAGAATCCAGTTTGTCACCCTTTAGATGAGGCAAACCCCAACTTCTGGGATGCTGGCTCCCTAAGAAAAAAAAAACATGGTGAAGGCACTCGGTACTAGTTAAGACCTATTTTTTTTCTTCTTTCCCTGTTGTTATCAATGAAATTGGTGGGAGGAAACAGAGTTAACCCTAAACTAGTAAAACAAACAAACTAGTCTATGTAGCCCTCTCTCCAGCAGAGTTTCTGTTTTAGAGATTTCATCCCACTGCTTGTTGGATTCAGCCGCAATGGCTGGGCAGCAAAGCTGCTGGTAGAGGGTGGTAGTCAGTGTAGAGGCAGACTGTTCAGGCCTCTTATCCTCAGGCAGAGCCCACAGACCACAGGTAGGAAAAGAGATCGACAAGCAAGCAGCACATGCAAGCAAAGAACTTCTCAAGCCCTTCATCATTTCCTGATCTCCTTTGGTCCCTCCTCTCCCCCAAGCATGCAAACCCCGCAAGTCACAGGCAGCCTGGCCCCCATGCTTTGCTATTCCCCAAAGCACTGTAATTCTGTAACTGCATGGCGTGGCTATCAGCGTTCACATTAATACTGACAGCTACGCTGAAAGATGTAAGCCAGCCAAACCTTGGCAATGCTCCGCCTGGGCCCATCGGCAACCAGTAACCAAGTGGGGGAGTACAGGTTGACATCTGCTTCATGTGGATGAGGACTGTCGTGAAATGGGTGGATCCCAAATTCTTCTCTCAATGGAATATTAAGGTCTTTGGTTGTTTAGAGATGATATGGACTCCCTGGCCTCTAGATTAACACCTTCCTGATTTTATAGTATCCGAGTTTCTTCATTGCTTGTTTTTATAAATCATCTTCCATTTTTCTTCCTGGTAGGTTTAAAGTGAAGCAGCCACCACCTAGCACTGGACTGAAAGTGACATATAAACCTGGGCCTGTAAGTCCATATGTTATTGAGCACGTGTGTGTGTGTGTGTGTGTGTGTGTGTGTGTGTGTTGCGCACGCATATGTGAGTATATATGTTTTCATCACAGTTGCCTTTTATATCATTCTGATGCCCAGGTTAAATCATGAGTAGGTTTAATATTTCTGGTTTCATAAGGAGGATCCTAGATTGGTCCCGTGTGGCTCTATGCCATTGTTCCAGGGAAGAGCCATGACAAAAATGCTCAGAGTAGAAAGAGTTTATCTTCAGCTGGAAACATGCCCCTTACTTGTCCCAGGAGTACAGTCATGCACAGGCATGTGAAAATGACCTTTATAAAAACTGAATTCGTGGAGAGTTGGCTGGGAGGTTAAGAGTAAATGCTGTTTTTGCAGAAGACCCAGGTTCGGTTCCCAGTACTTACTTGGCAGCTCTCGTGGCAAATATGTGTGTCCATGAACAAAGCCTGCACACTCATATCCTGAAACAAACATATACTGAGAAGATGTCAGATTCTCCACAACATAAAAAAAAAAAATCAAAGCAAGCCCCTCTACTGTTCTGCATAGTAAATCACATTTTAATCTTAAGACCAGGTCATTCTAACAGCGAGATGACTCTGGATCCACCTTTCTAACTAGTAAAAACTCAGTGTGTATTCTTTGAAGCTCACCGTGCTATAAGGGTATTTCTTTCCCCTTTCTGATAGTAGGTTTTGGCTCTGACAAATATATATATACACACACAGTCTTCTGCCTATGTAAATCTAAGCACTGTTCAGTTTGGTTCGTTGCCAGGCCGAAATGAACGTGCGCCAACCCTGGGTAAGCTGCACTGTGGCACCACTCCAGCTCTCTGTGGAATTTCGTCCTACCCAATCCTGATTGGTGGGCTTCGGGGAGCAAGCCCGGACCCTCAGAAACAGTCTCTGGGTCTGCTCCAGCACGTGCACACATACACTGTTGAAAAAAAAATGGAATGTTTTCAATTCTATTATTTATAAAACTATATTTTAAATTTCCATTTGAATCTAATTGCTCTCCATGTGATAGTTGTGTGATTTGTTTTTTTCCAGAGAGCCCTTCCCAAGTCTGCTTTTTAACCCACCCCCTGTAGAGGCAGCTTAGAAACATAAACATCTCCACCTCTTCAGGCTAGTGTGCCTTCCAAGAACAAGGCAAGCAGCCCAATGCCTTGCTGAGACTCTTCACTATATCTTGGATCTCTTCTTTGTCGGTACACACCTCTTCCTTGTTTTTAGACCTAAGCAGCGTGGCATCTGCACTTATTCTGTCTCCCTCTGCTGGCCCTGTCATGCTACACACCCTATATTAGAATCCTGGAGACCAAAGGCAGGCGAGTCACCAGGTTTCTTATATTACATCCGTATCTGTCTTAGATGAAATTTACCTTTATCAGCCAGTAGACAGAAACTCATGACTAACACTTGAGAAATAGGATGAAAAATAAGATAAATAAAAAATTTAAAAAAAAGACCTTTAAATTTAGCCAGGTGGTGGTGGCACACGCCTTTAATCCCAGCACTCGGGAGGCAGAGGCAGGCGGATCTCTGTGAGTTTGAGCCCAGCCTGGGAAAGAGCTAGTTCCAGGACAGGCTCCACTAAAGCTACAGAGAAACTGTGTCTCGAAAAAACCAAAACCAAAGAGAGAGAGAGAGAGAGAGAGAGAGAGAGAGAGAGAAGAAAGGAAAAGAATAAAGAAATAGGGTGGACGTAAGGACGTGACTTAAAGTTCAGGGGTCAGAGACTGAATTGTGGATCTTAGTAATGAGATCTCGGTTGAGAAGTCAGGGATAGAAAAATTTCAAGAGTCCTCTACACAACGCTTATGTCCCAGAATACAAGAAAGAGAAGTTTGGTATCAGTTTAGGAAGCAGGAGGAAGAGGGGCAGTGGCGACAGAAGAAGAAATCAGGAGGGAAAGCTATGAGTACCGCGGTAGTTTCCCTTCACCTCCAACATCCTGCCATTTGGCACTCCCCAGACCCCAAGCAGCACCTGGTTTGTGCCTTTGTGCCCTTCAGTCTGAAAGGAAGCCAGGCTTATTCTGACCCAGGGCTTCAGAAATGTCTCTTGTGATCACTTGGCCCTGTGTTTGGGGGTCCGTGGAGTATCAGGCAGGGATGTCCACATGGGAGAGCAAAGTTGCTTTCTTCAAGGCTTCCAGGAAGCAGAGAACGAGAGAAGGGGCCAAGGGCGCACCCTCGATGACCTCATTTCCTTGCAGTAAGCCCACATCAGCTCTTGCTAACGCAACTCTTGCTGATGCCAAACTTCTGGTGTATGGCCTTTGGGGATGTTCCAGCTGCACACTCTAACACCTTCAGGAGTTTGTGTTCAATCCCATTCATTTCATGGAATTCTACATAATTCTAAATAGCTCTGTCATATGTCCCCTGACCCACACTTCTGGGTTACAGAACTGTGACCACTGGGGTGACAAGGGAATAAAGAAAGGACAGACATACAGACACACGTACAGAAAAACTGGGATCAGGTGGGCCATACGGTAGTGACGGCAGCATCACCAGCCTGGAAACACAGCACATTTATCTACACTTCTGAATGGAAGAGGCAGGTTTATTTATTGCGTATAGTTGAATGAGGATGTAGGCTTAGCCACTCTTGGTCTTGAGATTTCTACAGAAAACACTGTGAGAAACGAAGCTGCTATAGATACCTTCTTGACGCACTGTCAACAACCAACCAAGGGTCAGCAAAGGGCTCTGCCATTCCAACGGGCTGTCTGTGGCAATGATACACATTTACTCGGGACTTCACCTGGTCCTCACACCTAATGCTTATATTTATTAGTGCCAAACTGATGGACAAGAAAACTAAAGTTTAAAGAATTGTTGTCTAATATATTGTCCACATTGGTTTTAACCCAGCGTTTGATGTCTTACAGGTGGCTGCCGGTTTGCATGCAGAGCTGCAGATAGAGCTCTTTGCCATGGCTGTTGGAGAAGACGGTGCCAAGAGGTCAGCACACATCTCCCACAACATCGAGATCACGACAGAGCATGATATTCTGTTCTTACCCGTGGAAGCAAATATCCTTTTTAAAGCGCACTTTTTGTAACCATGTCTAGTGCAGAAATGAAATGAATTCGGAAGGCACGAAAGCCAAAGTGTCCGTTAGTCCTTCACTAGGCCAAGAACTATACATAGGATGGCAATAGCAGGTATGGGGGACAGGAATGGAGGATGTGGGGTAAGGAGGAAACAGCAAAAACCAAAGTGGGACTTACTAAGACAGATGGAAAGATACGATTTAAGTCCACTTTAGAGCCAGAAACTGAACTGCAGCTCTCAGTAATGAGATCTCTGCTGAAACATCAAAGCTGGCAACAGAAGATTTTGAGGAGCTCCATGTCCTCTGCACATAGCTGATGTTTGAGGGTATGGGAAAGAGAATAGTGGGATCTGTTTAGGGAGCAGGAGCAAAAGGGGCCAAAGGGACCAGAGAATGTTACTTTAATGATACAAGTACAGGAAAGGCTTTCTGTTTAGTGTAGATCATTTCTAGGCTTGAGAACAGATTGGGGAAGCATTTAAAACATGACTAAAAGTAACTAAATATCCTAGAGAGGACAGGAGAGGACGCAAGAGTAGCGGGGAAGGGCTAGCCTTGGTGAGGGGGGAGGATGAAGACAGCTGAGGATTGAAACACTGAAATGAGGTAAAAGCTTGGGGACCCATCGAGCAAGCTTAGTTTTTGTAGAAATGGAAGCGAATTCCCTTGTCCATCTATTCTTTCAGAGGTGTCTCTAATAGGCAGCCACTGTGTCCACTTACCACTTAGACCATTTAGGAACCATTTAGGAACCATTTAGGAAAATGGCTTGATTCAAATTTTTATTTCCTAAAGATGGCTCACAGTCAGTGTCCCAAAATCGAGCCTATCCCTACCCTAACCGCATGAAATCACCTTGTTGGTAAGGTCTGGGGACTGATGGTGACAGTCTTCTACAGACAGGCCAGGACATTGGGAAGAAAACTCACTCTGGAAAGAGAAGAGTTAAAACACAAGGATCCAACTCATGTACCTAAGAGTTTAGCTTACAGAGAAGGGTACCTGCCAGGAACTAATGCTTCTGGAGACTAAGCTTTTAAAACATCATCTGGGGCTGCAAAAAAAGATCATTTAACTGTGGAGTTCATAGTCCTTAATGAGTCTTTTACTAGTTTTAACAAGCAGTAACTATGACAATCGACCCAAAGATTTTCCCCAGGGAAAAGAAAACCCCATGGTCTACAGGACTTCCACAATCTCCTCCTCCGCACTTGGAGTCTTCACGTCTCGCAAGTCCATGCGTCGTCATCATCGTTAGGATCTGTAAGCACTGAATGCCATTTTGTCAACCACTCCCACCTGATCTCAGCGCTCTCAGACTTCAGGCTTTTCCCTGATGTCATACAGCCCCACATGAAAGCGTTTTCAGAATCGACCTTTAAATCAGTTGTTTTCTAACACTTTGGACTTGGGATTTTTTTATAGGTGTGTTCCTGGTCCAAAGGGCTTTATTTACAAAGGTAAAATGTATTAATACTTACCAGAGAAGAATCAGAACCAGAAGATTTTAAGTTCTATTTGAACAAATAGTGAAGCCACTATGTATGATACAGAGTTTTGAAGCATCGCTTTCTTTTGCTAGAGAAGACAGATTTATCTCATTCCATTTAGGAAATTTCAGTACATCATACCAGGTGGTGATGATGATCACAACAGCAGCATGCTAGAGCAGATCAGATTCCATCACAGTGCCCCCTGAGGCAGACAGGAAGTGGTCAGGGAGGTTCCAAGAGCAGCAGCCAGTGACTGACTTCCTCTAGCAAAGCCCCACCTTGGGAAGTTCTCACAGTCCCCAAAATAGCACCCCCACCATAGGCCAAGCAACCAAATCGTGATCCTCTGAGGAATATGACGTATTAAAACTATAACATTCCATCCTTGCCATCCAAATATTCAAGGCCACCTCATAAGGTAAATGCCTTTATTTTCCCCCTTTTATTGAAAGTAGATTTTTTTCATATTATGGTTTTCTACTCTTCCCAACTCCTCCCCACCTCTGGCCCCATCCAGATCCTTTCTGTCTCCCCTTAGAAGACACAGAAGCTTCTAGGGGTCATAATGAAATAAGCTGTCACACTGGAATTGGACTTGACAAACAGAAGGAAAAGCACCCGGAAGGCACAAAAAAATTAGGGACACACTTATTTGCACACCCAGGAATCCCATAAAAACACTAAACTGGAAGCCATAGCATTTACTCAGAGGACCTGGTGCAGCTAGCTGTGCAGGCCCTCCGCATCCTACCTCAGTCTCAATTCATATCTGCATTGATCGTGTTGATTTAGAGACTTGTTTTCTTGGTATCCTCCATCCTCTTATATTTCCTGCTGTCTGGGGGTCCTGCCTCCAGCAGCACAGGGCTTTGAGAAAAATCCATTGACTTGGCATAAGCTATCTGAGGGAGGTTTAGGAAAAGAAACATTCACAAATTCTCTTGATGGCTTGCTTCTTTATCTTCTGTTCTCTCGGGTTCTTTTTACTACATACTTTTTTTTCCCCTACAGCTTATATACTCCAACCTAGTTTTTCAGGCAATGTAGGAATTACAATGTCATTACATTGTTTTTCAATAGAGTGATTACAATGAATACAAAACAAACAGTAAATGACACGTTTTCCACCTCCCTTCCATGATTAAACATTTTATTTATGACAGGTGAAAAACAAATTAGTTCTTGGGATATCCAAGAAGTTGTTATATGCAAGCTTGGGATATCCCAAGAAACTTGCTATAGATCAACACCAAGTGGGCAATCAAAGTGTTCTTGTCAGGTCTTTTACTGGCAGGCTGCACTTTGCAGTTACAAAGAAAGGGCCAATTACTTTATTACTTATCTTGAAATGTAATCTTATATGGAACCTTAAAGGAATCACAAACCTAAACTTTTATATATCAAAAGAATCTACCAGCTCTTTTTTAAATCTTTAGGGTACATGCCCATTCATTAAGTTTTTTAAATCAGGAGATTGAGGGCAGAAATGGGTGTAAGGAATTAGTTATCACCTTTGGTCATCAACCAATCTTAGCAGGAAAGGCACAAAGATAATTGGGCTGCTCTGTTCTTGTTCCCTGACCTTAACAAGTTCCACATTCAACTCTGTGCCTTTCTAAAACTTGAGATTGTTGTCTTTTTTCACCTCAAAACCATTTAACAAAAGCCTAACTTTGTTATTTTCAAATTTCATTTTTTAAAAATAGCTGAGTAGTCCTCCAGTGCACAAATGTACTACATTTTCTTTATGCATTCTTCTGTCGGGGGTCATCTAGACTGTTTTCATTTTCTATTATGAATAGAGCAGCAATGAACATGGTTGAGCAAATGTCTCTGTGGTAAGATAGTGTCCTTTGGGTATATGCCCAAGAGTGGTATAGCTGAATCTTAAAGTAGATCGACTCCCATCTTCCTGAAGAAATAACACACTGATTTCCATAGTGGCCATATAAATTTGTACTCCCACCAGCAATGGAGGAGTGTTCCCCTCAGTCCATATCTTTGCCAGCATGAGCTTTCACTAGTTTGATCTTAGCCACTCCAACAGGTGTAAGATGAATCTCAGTTTTTTTTATTTTCATTTCCCTGATGGCTAAGGATACTGAACATCTGTTTCTCAGCCATCTGAGCTTCCTCTGTTAAAAACTGTGTTTAGATCTGTACTCCATTTTCTAATCGGGTTATTTTCTTGATGTCTAGTCTCTTGAGTTCTTTATATATTTTGGATATTAGCCCTCGATTTGATATGGAGTTGGTAAAAAACCTTTCTCTATTCTGTGGGCTACCGCATTGAATAATAGTGTTTTCCTATGCAGCAGCTTCTCAGTTTCACGGGTCACATTTACTAATTAATGATCTTAGTGTCTATGCTAATAGTGTTCTGTTCAGAAATTCTTTTCCAGTGTCAATGAGTTAAAGGTTATCCCCCACTTTCTCTTGTTCAGGATGTCTGGCTTTATATTGAGATATTGGTGTTTAAGTTATATAGGGTGGTAAGTATGGTTCTATTTGGACTCATCTACATCCAGATGACCAGAACCATTTGTTGAAGATGCTTTTTTTCCCAGTGTATGTTTATGGCTTTTAGAAAATCAAGTGTCTATAGGTGTGTGCAATTGTCTGAGTCTTCAACTAGATTTAATGTTCAATGTGTCTGTTTCTGTCAATACCACGCTGGTTTTATTACAACAGCTCTGTAGTACAGTTTGAAATCAGGGATGGTGATGCTTCCTGTAGTTTTCAATTATTCAGGATTGCTTTTAGCTGTCATTATTTCCATATGAAGCTGAACACTGTCCTTTCAATTTCTGTGAAAAATTGTGTTGAAATTTTATTGAGGATTGGATCAAATCTGTGGATTGCTTTCAGTAGAATGGCCGTTTTTACAATATTAATCTTGCCAATCCATGAGCATGGAGATCTTTCCATCTTCTGATATCTTCAGTAACTTGAAGATTTTATCACGTAAGTAAGTCTTTCACTTGCTCGGTCAGAGCATAACCCCAAGATATTTTATATTATTTGAGGCTATTGTAAAAGGTGTCATTTCCTTGATTTCTCAGTCCATTTGTCATTTGTATATAGGAGGGCTACAGATAAAAATAAACAAATCACTGTTTTCTAACACAAAAATTTAGCAGTGGCACTGCTTTACATTCTTAGAAATCTTGTCAGCATCAAAACCACGGAATTCTTGCGATCTGCTGTTCTAAAGTAAGTACCATCATAAAGCCTCTGAGAACTCTGCTCTGTGCCCATTAGAGTGAGCTAGCAAGGCAATGACAATGTCTGTGCACTTCCTGGGCTCCACACAGAAGCACAATAAATCGCTACCATCATTCTCTCATAGCCTGCTGGCCCCAGCAGTAGCAGGGTTGGCTCCTTCTGGAGGCTCCAGGTGACACACTTTTCTAAGTGTCTAGATGCAAGTATTAGCATTGCTCCATCCTTTGCCTCTTTTACATACTACATGCCTTGTCAGCTTCTCTGTGTCACCCTTTGCACGGATAGAGGCCACCCTCATCCTCAAACACTTTATATTCACAGATCATTTTACAAACAAGGTCACATTTCAGGTTCCATTAGACACAAATTTTGGAAGACAAACTCAGCATGGCCTTCCCTCTCGTCCTTATCTTAAGAAGATATAAATTCCCCACAAAGAAAAGCTCAGACCCCGAGGTATCTTTTTCTAGACACCCCTACCTCCCCAAATTTCTACCATGTAGACAGACATATTTACAACAGACCCTACCCACCATTATACAGACAGTCACCAAGACATCTGAAATGGTTTTAATGAAAAAGCTATTTTATTAGTTCATGGTTCTTCAGTTAGTGGTCAATAATAAACATGATTATCTTAAATGGAAAAGCTCTGATACAAATACTCTGCCATAAATATGAGACACTTCTGAAATGCCTATTTCAATTCAAATAAACCAAATACACAATCAAAAAATATTTTTTTGCTCTTGTTACAATATAAAGGCTCAATTCTGAAGAACACAGATTTTTAAACTAAATCTGCCCAGTCCAAAGGATGGAGCCAGAACACACAGCCATGTTGGATTTCTTCAGCTCGGCTGACAGCTGAACCCGAAGATGTACAACACAATCATTTTTGGTATTTTTAAGATGCCAACTCCACCACAGCTTAGTTTACATGTTCCTTAGAGTTTAGGGGAAGCAGGAAAACCCACAGCCTTTCAGTTGCTAAGTCAGCGTTAAAATCATCTTCCTCCTGTTTCTTCGTTTCCTCTTCTTCTCTTCCAAGAGACCAGTAGCTTCAGCAAAAAATATCACTTCACTCTTTGCTTCACACTCTCTCTTGAGATAATCGAGACCCGCCATGTTGAAGCCAATGACATCCTAGCGAGGAACATAGAAAGGAAATGAAATTCTTTGCTGTTGTTAATGCAAGAGGCTTTTGAGAATGTGTTGTAGTTCTTCCCCTCTCTAAGGACTCTTGCTGTTAGTGTTTTAAAAGTTCTGTTTACACTAATACAGAAAGTAACCCTAAGTAGAGGGTTATGTCTGGTGTTGTGACAGACAGGGCCTAGCATATGTCACCTTTAGAGCACATGTCTGTAACAGACGCTTACCTGGACTTGCCTGACTTTTGAAATAGTTGTTTCCTTTAGTTTCTCTATTACAGGCACGAGCATCTGGTTGCTGGTGATCTGGCCAAAGTGAATCCTAAAAGAAAAAGTCATGCTGCAGAGAGGACATAGCCCAACCAATCACCCCTAGAAACAGTAAACTA